ATTCGATCATGGATTACAAAAAAGAAAAAAAACATTTCGATCATGGATTACAAAAAAAAAACAAACATTTCGATCATGTATTACAAAACATTCGATCATGGATTACAAAAATTCTATCATGGGTTACAAAAAAAAAAAAACAAAAATTTGATCATGGATTACAAGAAAAAAAACAAACATTTCGATCATGGATTACAAAAAATTCGATCATGGATTACAAAAAATTCTATCATGGGTAACAAAAAACAAAAAATTTGATCATGAGTAACAAAAAACAAAAAATTTGATCATGAATTACAAAAAAAAAAAAACAATTCGATCATGGATTACAAAAAAATCGATCAAGTATTACAAAAAAATCTATCCTGGATTACGAAAAAAAAAAAAAGTTCCGTACGAGACTCGCCGATTCACTGTACGGACTCGCCGATTCCGTACAGTGAATCGGCGAGTCACTGTACAGAATCGTCCGGTTCTCTCTAGAACCGGACGATTCCCGTTTTTTTCGCCGATTCGATCCGTCCATGGCGATTCCCGAGTCGAACAGGGCGAGTCTGGTTCGACTCGGCGTTTTTTTAAACACTGCTCTCAACCATTTGTTTTGTGACGACCTACAACCACATTTTTTTTTCTTTCTTATGTGATCTAGACCGTATATTTTGTTAAAAATATGGTGCATGACTAATGATTTTAAAGTATCGGTCATTGAACAAATATCATTGTGTCATGATAAAAACTTCAATGAATGATTACTGACTTATTTTCCGATCTCCAGGTTTCAAAAATCCCATGTTCAATCAAACACAGGTTCCTAGACTTCCTAGAATTCCAGACAGGTTATCAAACACAATATTATGAATTCTAAACGTCAAAAAATCCAGCTTCTAAAAGTTCAGAACTTCTACTTCCCAGAGAACTTCAAGTTTCCAATTATCAAACAGGCCCTTAGGCTTTCAGGTTTAAAATTTGGATTTCGATAGATTGTCAGAATTCCATTTATGGTGCCTTTATCTCATTTTTATTGTCCCTTTGCTTGGGTAAGTGTGAATATAAGGGCTTCCTATGTGTGGGTTACCGGAATATTTCTCGTGCATGTTGCAGTTAAAGATTTGGATACGAGTGAGTGCATTCAATGCATGTTTACCACCCATACAAAGTACATTAATTGACCTCTAAAAAAACAGAGATAATTCTAGATACACACTAATGGTGTGAAAGTCTATCGTATCACATAATATTATTTAAATTTTTAAGATTGATTTCTGTTGTATCACATAATATAATTAAAATTTTTAAGATTGATTTGGATAGTTACCACAATAATTACTGATACTACTGAGAGAACAAAAAGGGGGGTCTACCCTGATGCGTGTTTGCCCAGCAATCCCTTCAACAACTCCAAGAGCAACACCAAGTGATTCCAGGACAGGGCCTTGCTCAATGTGAACCTGTCCCAAGCATAAAGTGAAAATTGACAGCAGTTCCTATTTTTTATTCAATAACTTGTTACACGACGAAACTATAGATTTTAGTAAGAAAAATAAGCTGACTTTACCTCGATATAACGCCACACTGACATGGGATCATACTTGAGATGGAGCAAGCTTTCCTCTGTAGCTTCAAAATGGTTTTCCTTGAGTACATCTGCTAATGTTAAGCCACTGCAAATGATTCTCTCTAGTTACTTGATTAAAGAAGAAAAAGTGGTACGAGGAAAAATCTAAGGAAAAGGATACTTAGTCTAATCAGAAACAGAGAATCATTATCCAATGGGGCCATTCCGTCAGATGAAAGGGATGGAGATGTAAACACAATGGCTGCTACAAGAACATGGCATGATCCCAATGTTGCGTCTATTGTTTACCATCACCATGCATCATTCCATTAGAGAAGTGATGGCCCATTGAATGATGTCTTTGCATAGTCCATTGGACTAGTATACTTTTCTAAATTCAAAGCATGGTACGCATCAGAGATACCTCTTGTCAGATACATGCAGGCTTGTCACTGGAAGAACTCCAGATATAGCAGCACTTCCTAAGAAAGTCATCTGGAATCGTACACCCTCCTCATCGCTAAAAGCAATAATCTGCTGACCATGATCAATAATGGTAATGTAGACCAAGAATTCATATCCATTTCTTTTCTCTCTTTTTTTTTTTTATGTTAGCTTGACCTTGGTAGGCATGGAACTCTAGCGGTCATGTTGTGACACGACCTAGAAATCAAAATAAGTGACAAGACAAAGAAAATGACAAGCTTCTTATGAACTGTTGTAACTGCATGAAAATTTTAAATTTCCATGATGCACTTGCTGCAGCTAATGGTATGATTGCTACTTAAGATCAACTGAAGCAAATAGAAAGCAGTAAAACAAAACAAAAAAAATAAAAGAAAAAATAAAATCAAAGGCTTGTGGCTTTATGAAATCTCTGTATTGATAATACATTAAGTTGCAGGTTCAAAACACCCAAATAAGGTAATACATACGTGTTTCTTGAAATCTAGGACACATATGGATATGAGTGAATTCGCATTTATTGTAGAGTCATAAATATATGCATCAAATGTTTAATATCAAATTCAAATCATATTATATAATTTTATACTTTTGTAATTTATTATTTACAATTATCCTATGAGTATCAGTATCAGTACACTTGCCAATATGAAATGACAACAGTGCATTAAGCATATCAAGAATCTGTACAACATCCAATAGAAATATACCGATTTAGGTATGCCTTAAATTGTGAAAAATAGAATGATGATTAAAATCAAAATACAATGCACATGTATCATCTAAAAGAGGCACCTGCAAATTGCAACTACATCACATTCTACAGAAGTAATAAAACAGGATTGCCTTGGTCAATTCTCAGCTTCAAAATCACACCAAAGTCAATCACTATGGATTGTAGAACCCACGTGGAAATCAACTGGAAAATCAGGAAATGACAACAGTCACACACATGGACACGTTTTCTCAACATGCCACTATGCCGATCATGCATAAAGAATGGGAATAAGCTGGCTTCAGACCCACAATGTCAAGGAGGAGATACCAACTACTTTCTAGTTTCTCCTTGGGCTTTCGGTGAAATGTAAGCTAGCAAGGGAATTGCTCAAAGATAATAGTCCATTTTAAAGTGGATTAACTGATTAAGCATGTAAGAAAAGAAACAACAGAGTATATGAAAAAATGTACAGAATAATATGATGAGAAAGGGTGAAAGACTCAACACAACAAATGAAGAAAAGGAAAAAAAGGACATGCTTTAAAATAATTTGTATCCTATCCTATATCACCAGCCAAAAACCACAACCATTGGGAAAATGGGTACAATAGTTTCTGTTATTGGCCAAAAGAGGCACAGAAAGTGCAAGGTTAATGGAATCAAATGATTGTGCATCGTTTCTTTAGTAATGCACTAATGCTTTCTTTGAGGAGAGCACAAATCCCCAACGCGAATGTAAAACCTAGGAGGTAATGATCTTTAACAAGTGGACGTCCAGCTTTCTCACAACAAATTGAAAACTACGGATTTTCTATTCATAATGTGCAAAGATTCAATGAATGATAAGACACCAAGCATATTCAAACTAAACAAAATACAAACATATCAAGATGTTACTTTGACCATATTAATAGCTGGAATAAGAGATGCAAACAATTACCCACTATGGCAATAGACAAATGAATGCATTTCCATTTAATGGAGAGGATTATGACAATAAATGAAGTTGCCCCAAGTTCTACAGACATTACAACTTTTCATAAGGGACCTCAGCCGCCTCAATATAGTGAGCTTCGTTTAGATACACATCTTCAAAATATTATTAATGACAATAACAGGAAACCACAGCGCTAATGAATTAGATATAGCATAACCTCAGCACAGACACCCTACAATAAAAATCCTGAAATATGACCATGAAGCATTTCTTAGCCAAATTTCATCAAGGAAAAACAGACAAACATTAGCTTAGTCAGTGTTTCCTCTCGATTGTATGTAAATATATAACCTTTAGAAGGTATACAATTCTCAAAAGGATGCCTTGGATAAATATTGGCTGGATAATAACTGACCTCAACCGGCCGCCGAAGCTTTTCTAACATCCCACTCATCTTCAATACCTTCATTGCAGATATTGCGCAAATTATGCCTAGGGACCCATCATAAATTCCAGCATCGATGACAGTGTCCTGTTTGATACAAGCAAGTTGTTAAAAGCAAGTCATAACAAAAAACTGTTTTTGTGTTTATGCATGGCAATTGAGTAAAAAGTCATGTTTTATACCAACCAAGTGAGAGCCAATAAGCAGAGCTTCCGCACTAGCATTCATTCCTTCAGTTCGTCCATGAACATTGCCCATCTGGTCCACCCACCTGGAAATCTGCTGAAAGGATCAGTTCAAACATTCCCAGTTTATCTTAATGCAAGTGATGTAAGACATTAGGAAAAGAGCCCAGGCTTAATTGGTTAGCACTTGACGATTTGCAACGCTACATCCTAGGCTCAATTCCTACAAAGGGTAGGAGCCCTCTCCCCATTGACTAACCCCAAAAAAAAAAGGGATGTAAGACATTAACTCAGATAAATACCATGTGAAAATTGGTGGGTGCAGGGACTTTTTATCAATTTCTATAGACCATAAAATTGTGACATGTAGTACAAATGTAGGAATGCTTGGACTAACTAGGACTCACCAAAGGCCTGGAGAAAGTCAGCTAGATGAATCCCGAACGGACACACCAAGTCTGGTTGAGTTGGATGAGTCAAAAAATAAGGAAACACCATATAAATTCGAAAAGTAGGAAAAACAAAAGAAAAACAAAAAACAGCAAGTCTTTGATTTTGAGTTCCTTTTTTTTTTTTCGGAACTGAACCACTATTTTTTGGGTGACATTGAAAAAAAAAAAAAAAAACATAAAACACTATCTTCAGCCAAAGAGTGTTTGGGTGTTCAAAGTCACACAAATTTGAGATTTGAGTGGTTTTCTGAAGAATAAGCCTCTGACTAAATAGAGAAATAAAAAATAGGCCTAGCGGAAATTTTCTACGAAGATCGAGCTAGGGTTGCTAAGAAATCACAAGTCTTTGAATGTCAGCCAGACCCTAGTTTGAAAATCATAGACTCACAAATCCAACAAGAGTTGTTAATTTTTCTCTCCATTCTGATCTTTCTAATAAACAGAGGATGCAAAAACCACACTAATCCCTAATTTTCAGAGCATAACGATGTTCAGTTGGGAGAAATAGGGAGGGTCGGTAGGTTTTCCGCCCCATTCAAACTGAAAAATGCGTCGGACTCCGCGAGTCTGTAAGAAACTCACTGAGTTTCTAATAATTCGCTTGAGTTACTTCATTAACTCAAGCTATTTTGTGTAAATTACTCCCCCGGGCTTGGGACAGTACAAAGTACCAATGACTCAGGCGAGTCCAAGTGAACTCACTCGGGCTCACCCCCAAGTTTTTACACTGTTTACAACTGAAAGTTTCCCATAAAGTCTTTTGGAGCTTCAACAAAATTTTCAAAACATATTAACTGGTTATTTTGGTCAAATAACGGTGAGGACCATAAACTTTCCCTTAGCCCATCCCAAGCCAGGGTAAAGAGGTGAGCAACAAGCAAGCATAAAACTTTGCCACATCTTATCATGATATTGACAGGTTGTGTATAGCATTTATTGGCAACTTTTTCCAAATAATTCCTGAATAAAGAAAAAGTATATGATGATTGGTTCAAATTTGGAATATATCAAAGAAGAACATAAAGCATAGTAAACTAAACTAACGTTGTCAAACCCGCGTCCTCCATCCAGCCACGTATAACACTGCTAGCCTGTATGGATGCATGACTTAAGAATGTGCGCTCAAGATAACCATCAGCATCACTTATCTGATAAAACATATACACAGACACATGATGGTTAGAAGAATTCCACATGCATGAAAGTAGAAACAACAAATAAATGTAACCGATAATATCCATTTCTCGAACAACCCGTAAAGAGCTGAAATCTCATTTTAAATCTACAGACTCCAATTTCAATTCAGAAGTACAATGTGATATATCACCAATGTAAATAACTGAAATCTCATTTTAAATCTACAGACTGAATCACTTTGACGTGTAATATTCAACTGCACAATTGAGGTATATGGCACAATTGATAATATTTTTGTGTAGCTAACTTTTATGCCGTCACCATTACTGAAAGCATTCAGGGTTCCTAAAAAAATGAATGGTATCATATAATCCTATGTACAATGAACAGTATCACATAAGAGCTTCTCTCTTTTCTGTTTCCGTTCCTTTTACCATTTCCTTCTAATTCATCATTTTTATTACAAATTACACGTATTGAAGCAATAAGTTTGGAGTTCTTAGGTAAAAAGATGCTTTTTGGTGCATCTGAAGCACAAATTTATGATCAATTTTCCACAACCGGACTGCCCAGCACCTAGGCGGTCCAGAGAGCCTGACCACCTCGCCCAGGCCTAGGCGGCCCAAATAAGCGGGCCAGGGGAGGAAATACCCCTTGTTGAGGAGCATTTTTGGGTCATTTTTAATAAAAAAAGGGGGAAAATGGTGGGTTTTAGGTTCATTTGAGCCTCTTTTAGAGTATGGAGATCTTCTGTCTAGCCTCGTTTTAGCAAGCAATTAAAGTGCATCTTGCACAACAATGAAAATGAAGTACATCTTGCGTTTTATGAAAATTAAAGGAAAAGAAATACTACTTCACTGGGCGACACAAGTTTTGGGCGCCCGCCTAGGCGCTAGGCAGCCTGGACCCCCTGGCCGCCTAGGCGCCGCCCAACGTTTTTTGAAACACTGTTTATGATAAATAATTAACGGCATTTGTTGGCACTTATAAATGAAGAGAATTTGTTCAATTGACTAACATTTTATTGTTTTAAATGAAATTCATGTTCTGATGGAATGTGAACAAAATATCTAGGCTGCAAGAATCCCTAGCACTGAAAATTTGTGACCAATTGTTGACTGCCATTGCCATCTCAATAACTATGGTATCCAAATACAGGGAGTTCACGCCATTACTAATTCTAATTTCCGGAACTCCATTAATCAGAAAACATGATATCTAGTGAGAATACCAATATCTAAGCCATTCCTTAGATGGGAGAACTTTTACAGTTGCACCTGTTTTTCATACATGTACGGAGCTGTAATTAGTAAGTCCCTGAATACTACCTTAAATGCAGGAGAAAACCATGTCTTCCACAAATATTGTAAATATCAAATAAGGAACCAAATGCATTATAGAAGCAATATGATGCTCCTCACTCAAGATATTAAAAGATAATCCTTTAGCTGTATAAATGCAACTGTTGAACTGCCACACAGTTGAGAAAGGCATCTAACTTGGTTTTACGAATTCTACAGAATAGTCAAATAAGCATTCAACAAGCTACAGGCCCCCGTGTTGTAAATTGGATTGCAATAATCAGATGAACCTTCTCTTATCAATTAAGTTATTCTGATTATTTCACTCATTCAATGATACAATATTCAATAATACTGTTTAAAAGAAGTCTGAAGTCTCAATCCAATCTGAAATTTATCGCCAGGGCTGAGTGCACCACAAAAGATTCCGAAATGGGTTGAATTTCTTGTCATGAAAATTTGACACAAAAAATTCATTAAATTAAGCCACTATAGACTGCACGATGAAAAGAAAACTTAATTTAAGATATAGAAAAGTGTCAATACCTTGCCAAGATGATAAAGTTTTGCAACTGCATCATCTCTTAATATCGCCTTGTACATTTCATCTCTTCCTTGAACCATTTGCAAGCCCCAGTCTGCTCCAACACACACAACAGTTAAACAGTACAAAAGTACCAACTAAGAGTTCTTCGTAAAATGCTTATTAAAAAATACTACACCAATCATAATCGAATTAGCCAAATCAGAAAGGAAAGCAATACCCCAATCATAGTACAAAACAATGGCCATGGATATGACAGATTTCTTTAGTTGCATTCCTATTGATACAAAACATTCTAAAAGTTTGGATTTTAAATAGAACATAAAGATTTTCACATTTTAAGGATCAAAGTTATTAGTTACCAGTTGAAGGATGACGAGGCATGGTTTGAGTGTCAGATTCTTCGATGCAAAGTCTAGAGCCCAAATTTTCTCCAACAGTTTGGTGTTCAGAATTTGTATTCCAAGTTGTAGATTCCGAATGGACCACTAAAACTCAGCATCAAATTATAGTTAGTGAAAACCACTACTATAAAGTTTGCTATCGGAAAACACATACATGCACCACTAACCTCATTGAAATTTGAACGATTACACCAATAAATCAAATGATTGCTTAAGCTCAATTATATGCATTGTCTTATTTTCGGTAGTAAAATGCATTTCTTTCAAGAAATGAAACATATAACATAGATATTCAGAGCAACCCATTTCATCCATAATTGAAAAAGTGAACACATAACCCAAATGGTTTCAAAAAAAGAAGAAGAAGGATTCTCCCATGGTCCAGAATTGAATAAATCTCACAATAAGAAAGATGAATTTTCCTCCCAAACAGTAAGAGAAACAGAAAGGAGAAATAAATTAAAAAAAAGGAAAGCATGACTAAGTAAGCTGAGAGAGAGAGCAGCAAATGTAAAGTGGGTAACAGGAAAAGGAGACAAAACATATGAAATGAAACTTGGAGAAAAAGAACTGTGATGGTGAAGACGAAAATTTTAGTGGAGGGCTGCCTTATTAAAATTAGTGCTTTTACCAGGTAGCCAGAACAAGGGATAGAGGATGAGGGTTGAAATCATGAAAGGTAACATTGCTCCTACCATGGAAGAGAGAAATAAGACAGAAAAATGTTGGTTTCATAAGCAATGGTTTGGAAACCAAAGCTATTGACAACCAGAAGCCATGGCAGCTGCAGAGCACTCAACCGTATATTTTTTCTATAAATATTTAGAGTGAGATGTTCATCATCAGAGAGAGGAATGGATTTCCTTTTATGGAAAAAGTTTATCTAAGGATGCAACCTTATAATGTAGAACTACGGATGCACCTCAAAAATCCGTAGTTTTAATGTGGAAAAGTAATTGATCATCTCGAAATTGATATTAGATGTATGACCGTGAAAAATAAAAAGATTTTAAATATAAAAAATATGCATTTTACAACCTATTATCTACACCCTCCATTTTTAAGATATGCATTTGTTTATGGATCTGCATGATTTTACTTACTTTTGAAATTTAAAATTTTATAATTAGATATAAAAATAGATTTTGAAATAATACTAAAAACATTTCACATCAAAATTATATATTATGATAAAATTTAAAAGCACACTTTAGTTGGATTGTTTAAAGTTGCAATCTTATGGAAACCACACCCTTTTTTATAAATGTTTAGAAATTATATATTATGATAAAATTTGAAGTCACACATGAGCTGGATTGTTTAAAGTTTGCAACCTTATGAAAACCGCACCCTTTTTTATAAATATTTAGAGCGAGATGTTCATCATTAGAGGAGAGGGATAGTTCTCCTTTATATATATATTTTTTCAATAAAATATACGAAAAAAAGTGTATATAAGGTCTCCACCTTGAAAAAGTGTATATAAGGTCTCAACCTTATATTATACAGGTACATTATACTTAAAAATCCCACTTGTGAAGGTTGTTCAAATGCTGGAAAACCCTCAAATCAATAATCTCGACCTCAAGATTTATAGACATGAAAAAAATGACGTTTCTAGTCCTAAAAATAATCACTTTTTTAAAATATTATTTGGATGGTATATTTTCAAAATGTTCTAGTATTTATAGATATGTTTGATCGTCACCAACTTCAAATGTCATAATAGGAAACAACAATAGATTTTTATATCATTGCTAGGCTTTGTGGCAATGAATGGACCACTTTATTTCAATAATATAAAGTTGATACATTGTACAAACCTCAACCAATAAAATATATATATATATATATATATATATATATATGATAAAGAGAGAGATTTCCATTCCTCCTGTACTTATAAAGTGGTGGAAAGGTGTGAGAGAGAGAGAGAGAGAGAGAATTTGGATACATGGTGAGGAATAATGGTGAATTGACAAATAAAAGTGGGGGGTCACTTGGGTTAAGTGGCAATGTGGCCACGCAATTAGGATATAAAGTTGTGGCAAACTACCAATAATTAATTTAAGAGGCTAGTCACGATAGTCCATTTTCTTTGTACTTTGCCCACACAGTTTTTGGTCCCTCCCTTTTCAAATGATACGAGTGGGTAACTAAATTAGTTGGTGGCCAAACTAATCTCTCTAAACCATGTGGACGTATGGGTGGTAATGGGCCGGGTATGTCTTGGCCCTGGCCCAACCCTTGTCCCCATCGCAATGGCCTTGACAATGTTAGGGCTGAGACAAAAACATATAAATAATAATAATAAATAAATAAATAAAGAGGGCAGGCTGGGACAAAAGTAATGGGCTGGCATTGACCCTAGCACGGCTCTCGGACCACTGTTCCAGGCTGCCCGGCCCATTGTGAGCCCTAGATGGACAGCCACGTTAAGGAAGTATCACATCGTAGAGGTACTATTATCGCAGATGGCATTCTCGTGTGGGACCACAGTGTACATTTGCTCCCTCCTACAAAAGAGCTAGTTAGATGATTTTTTAAATCTGAAATTTCGGAAAGAATCACTAGAGGATTAAAAAGAGAAAGTGTATTACTTAGATCTGATAGTTCAACGATTGAATGATCTCTATTCAAAATTATCACATTATTTGTTTTAAGACACAAAGAAAGTGCCTTCCAATTTTCTTTTTCTTGTTTTCTTGAGGTTGTTCCCTAGGTTGAGGAAGTTATATACCTAAAATTGGATCGTAAGGACATCCCCAAATAGATGTTTACTTGAGGGAGTGAATGGCATTTATCTATTTCACTTTGGGAAAATATCATTTATGGGATTGAAATCCCTTACGAATAAGGCTGGCAACAGGCAGAGCCTAGGCGGAGCAGGCCTTAGCCCTAGTCCGCGTAGGGGCGACCTGACAATGCCAAAGAGGCCTTGGCCAAGGCCCCATAAAAAGGAAAATAAATCAAGGAAAAATTGACCAAATGACAATTTGGTCATTTGCTCTATATGGGTATTTGATGCTTACAATTTCAGATATAAATTAGAGGAATTTATGTGCATATCCCTCTAAATTATCATTATTAAAAACATCCCTTTTAGATTTTCAAATTTATGTTTGCACGCCTTTTTTTTGTATTTTAAATTTTTGCCCAAAATGCCCCTATCTCATATGTTGAAGATCCGAAATTCATAGATATTTCGGATTTTGAAAATACCAAAGTTCTTCTAGTTCCCAGGGCATAACAGTGTCAGCTGGTGTGCTATAAGAACATAAAGAAATTTAGATTTTTAAGAATCCGAAATTATGGAAATTTCATATTTTGAAAATTCTAAACTTCATATAGGCACTCTAAATTCTGGAAATTTCAGACTTTTTAAATTTCATATCTCAAATATTTGAAAATTTACAAATTCCTGCCTTATTAAATTTCAGATATTGAAAATCTAAAATATGGGTAGTTTGGCCATTCAAAAGAACATAAAAAATAGATATGAATGTAATAACATAATTTTTTTGGGTAACTATTAAATAACTGTAAAATTCACGAATATTCATCGAAGTTTCTCTATAAAACTTTTACTATACAGTGTGATGGCGGTGGTGACAGTGATTGTTTGATGGTGGTGGTGTAGCATGACACCAGTAGTAGCGGCAATGGAGGTGGCGCAACGGTTGCGGAAGTGGTTGTAGGTAGGCATTGGTGGTGGTGGCTACGGCTAGGCAGTGATGGTGGTGGTGACAATGGGTGTGGCTCAGTGGCCTAGCGGTGGTGTTGGGGTGGGTGGTGGAACAGTAGCGACTAGTTGGTAGTTGTGTGAAGTAATAATGGTGCGATAATGGTGGTGGTAGTAATACAAAGCAACATAATTCAACTTTTTAATAAACAACTTGGAGTAATGTTGTAAAATCTTAAATTCAAGGGTCCACTTAAAAAAAAAAAATTATTTCATGCAGGATGGACGGTATTTCTACATATGCGGTCCAGAAAGTGTAAAGCATTCATCTTAAAGATGAATGAAAGTAGTTGCTCCATCTAAAAACAATGGAAACTAACGGTCCAAATGCTTTCTTACTAGAATTATTATTTATAGTTTTTAAAATTTATTTATTTTTAATATTCATGATATCCATGTTAGATATTACATATCTTTAAAAATTAAATCTGAAAATCCATCTCAAAATATATTTATTTAGAGGCCCGCATTTCTACATATGTGGGCTTGGCCACATAGAAACTGGGTCCATTAAAAAATACATAAATAGTTAAGAAAAGGCAACATAAATATTCAATTATAACAAGTTAAATTTTTCTGATAAATTTTTTGATAAATAACTATAATGTCAAACAAGATGACATGACCCTCATCTTTTAAAGTGGGAAAGAGTTTATATAAGGTTGTAACTTTAAACTCTATAATTAAGGTATATTTTAAAAATTCATTCAAAAAATCCTTAAATGTTGAAAAACCCTCTAATTAATTATATCGACATTGAGATGTATGAATATGGAAAAAAAAATCGAGTCCAAAAATAGTGCATCGTGCAACACATTATCTAGATCGTCCATTTTCAAGATATTCATGTGTTGATAGATCTACTTGATGTAAACTATTTTTGAGGTTTAAAATTTTTTAATTAAAAATTAAAATATATTTTCAAACCATCTTGAGAAATTTTGACATCAAAACTATACCTTATTATAAATTAAGGAGGTGCACCTTACTTTGGTCATTTAAGGTTACAACCTTATTCAACCATACCCTTTAAAGAGTGCTATATGAGTTAGGGATTGTATGCCATCCCCTCACCATCCAATGTATATCTCAAGTTAGATGCCAAGAAAAAGACACACAAAATAGGTGGCGGCAAAAAATTAGAAGAATAATACTTTTGAAATTTAAATTTCTTTTTTCTATATTCAAGATCATCATGGAGTTGAACATGAATCAATTAACATAAAACGCCACATGGATTGGATGCCATGTGGCATGCAAGAAATGCATTAACAGCTTTAGTGGAGTAATATTTATAAATCTCTCCAAAATATTGTGTATATTATATAATAATAATTATTATTATCATGTGTGTAACAAGTTAATGGAAACGTTTTCGCCCGTGTATACTATTTTGGTAAAACCATTACTTAAGATATATTAAAGAACTACAATTTTGAGGAACTAACATCTCAGCTTACAATTACGGATGCACCTACAAAATCCACCAGTAAAAGTTGTTTTAATGTTGAAAAATCCTCTAATTGATCATCACGACATCGAGATGTATGACTATAAAAAAAATTGGAATTTTGAGTCCCCGAAATGATGCATCTTACAACACATTATCTAGGCCGTCCATTTTCAAGAGTGTCATATGTTTATAGATCTACTTGATTTTAATCATTTTTGGAATTTAAAATTTTATAATTAGATTTGAAATTAGATTTTGAGATAATCATAATAATATTTTACATCAAAATTATATGTTATGATGAAATTTGAAAGTGCGCCTTAAATTAATTATTTAAGGTTGTAACCTTATGGAAACCACACCCTTTAAATTAAATGGCTATATAATCTTTTGATCCTATAAAATTCATATTATGAACAAGATATTCCATTAATTTTATAAATTATTTGAAAGAAGTAAATTATAGAATATAAATTTGAATTGAACTATGAAGCATCAAATCTATTTTAAAGGTATATCAATATTTTATTTAAAGGTGAAAATTTTCATAACAGGCTATATTTTTTGAAAAAATCATAACGATCATAATTTCATTTTATGAGGACATTTTTAAAATATCAACTTCTTAAAATATTCAATTGATGAATCTAATTTAATTCCATTAATTACAAGGTAAAATTTATAATAGAGCAATTTATTTAATTAAATAATTAGAATCATCGGAAATGAATGTTAATGTCCTTTTATTTTAGCATTCTTTAAAGGAAAAAGTTTATATAAGATTGCAATCTTAAAATGTAGAAGTAAATATGCACCTAAAAAATCTATTAGAAAAGGTTGTTTTAATATTGAAAAACCCCGTAATTGATCATTGAGATGTATAAATATGGAAAAAAAAAAAAAATTGAGTCCCAAAAATAGTGCATATTGCAACACATTATCTAGATTGTCCATTTTCAAGATTTTCATACGTTTATAGATCTACTTGATTTTAACCATTTTTTAAGTTTAAAATTTTATAATTAGAGATGAAAATAGATTTTAAGATAATCCTAAGAACTTTTTACACCAAAATTACATGTTATGATAAATTTTGGAGGTGCGCCTTAATTGCATTGTTTAAGGTTGCAACCTTATGGAAACTAAGCGAAAAGTTTATATAGAACCGAGCTTCTAAACAATCAAATTTGAACCTACCTCAAAACTTTCACTAGAAGAGGTTGTTTTGATGCCCAAATATCTTCAAATCAATCATCTCGACATCAAGATGCATGGACATCAGAAAAAAAAATAGATTTCAAGTTTCGAAAATAGTGTATTTTGTAACATGTTTTTGGACCGTCAATTTTTAAGGTTTTCAAGTTTTCATAGATCTGTCGATCTGTACTATTTTTTGAAGATTTAAAATTTATAAAAATATATTTTATGGATATTACAAAGATTTACAATATTAAAACCACATTTTTCGACACTATTTGAAGGTAGGCTCTAATTTGATTGTTTAGAGCCTAGGCTCTATACAAACCGCACCTTTTAAAAAATGTCCATTCAATTTTTCTATTTTTATCCATAGTTCCCTTTCTTAAATGCATCAAAATTGTATATATAAGAGAGAGATACTTTATCTTTTTTTTTTAAAAAAAAAAAGATAAAGATAAATACTTGACAGATAGGGTATTTCTTAGATACATTTAAGAGAGATTGAGATCATTTTTTTAAAAGAAAAAGAGACGCGTGCCTCTTGAATGTATTTAAGAGAGAGAGAAATAGACTATTTAGCTATTGAATGCATCAATAAGAGAGAGAGATGTATTATAATTATTTTTTGAGATAAAGAGATAGATTGCATAAAGAGCGTACGAATTTTCTAAAGATAAACACCTGAGAGAAAGAGAGATTGTGTGCCTCTTAAATACATCTAAAAGAAAGAGAGACATTCTCTGTGAACATAAAAGGGAGAGGAAAGAAGCAAAACAAAGAAAGAGGGAGGGGGGAGAGAAATAGTCTAAAACAAAAGAGGTTCATTAGAAAATCCCAACGACACGAGCTATAAAAGTGAGATGAATAGAAAATATCAATCACATTGAAGGAGATTGAAAATAAGATTGAAAAGAGAAAATTGAGACAATCAGATATTTTTTAATATTAATTTATCATTTACAATTTTCTTATTATAAGATGCAGTAGTTTTATGGAAGAACTACAACTTGGGATTTGTCTTTTATTAGGGATTCCGACTATAGATATTATTTTATTAGATGTAGTCTTTTTGTGATTATTAAGTAATTTTTTTCTCATTTACATATTGTTTATTTATACCTTAAGAAGTAGTTTTTTAATGGAAAATAATCAACAGCAGGATGTTCAATTTAAGGTTTTTATATGGGATAGGGGTTCTTAAAGCTTTTAAACCACATCATAATCTTATGAAAATTACAACTTATGAGATATTTATAATATAGAAAGTATACAATGAGACTATTTACGTTTGGTATAAGGTGGTCACAATTAATCTTGACCATTGGATTCAAAACTTGGGTGGCTACATTTATTGCATTAATTAAGCTCAAAGTTCCAAAGAAATTTTCTCAAACTTTGTGACAACATCCAAGCTATCAAATTTCACATATAATGGTTATAAGTAGTTGTGACCTATTTGTACTAAAGGTAAATGGTCTCATTATATACAATCCCTTACAATATTTAGGTTTAAATCTTAATTATCTAGTTGCAACGAAAAAATAGGTTTATATAGGAATTTAGCATTTATTTTGAAATATAATTTTTAAAATAGGCTTTTCTCTTAAATTAGAGTAGGGTATGTTTTTGAAATTAACAAATTTTACTAGAAATTATGGTTTTTGGCTTTTCACTCTCACACTCACTCACTATCTCTATGTGAATGTTTTTATACATACGTGTCGAAATTAATAGGTTTTACTTTTCGACTCTTAATTTCATTATGACTTATTACTTATTGTGCTATCTAATGTGGATTTTCTCCAAAGTTTTGAAATAACGTTTTGGAAGGTAATCACTAAATTAAGAATAAGTTATTTAATGGAAGATAATCATCCAATTAATAGAGCTGTCCAATTTAAGGTTTTAAGATAGAAGCTTTACTGAAGCTTTAAAATGAAATCACAATCTTGCAAAAATTGCAGTTTATAAGAGATTTATAATATTTAGGTTTATCTTGGAATTTAGCATTTATTGTAGAAAAAGATTTTAGACATAGACTTTTCTCTTAAATTAGAGTTTTTGAGTTTGAGGTATATTTTTTAAATAACAATAGGAAAAATATACAAAGAGACTATTCACATTTAATACAAGGTGGTTACAATCACTCTTGGCCCTAACATTTCAAATCAGGAGATATTGAGTGTGTTATTGAATACAGTCAAAGTTAAAAAAAAAGATTTCTTAAACTTTGTGACATATCCCAAGCTATCCAATTTGATATCTAATACCAGATGAGATTTATGAACTTCTCGTAACAAAGGTAAATGGTCTCGTAGTATACAATATCATAATAATAATGCATTCTGCTTATAAAATACATGCACAATCCACTTGCATTTTGCTAGTCTCTTAAAAATTTAAATTCAAGAAGATCATTTTATTAGCCTCTCTTTTTGAAGCGATGAGAAGTATCCACATTTCTCATAGTTCTATTTGAAGCCAATTCATTAATTGGACAACAAACTCGTTAATGAAATATTGCTAGATTCTATTATCCTAATGCCTTTGGTATTGCTCTGTCTTTAGAACTATAAAGAATAGAGAATGGATAGAAATCACCTTAACTAAGTAAATAGTAATAGTTTGTGTAGTGATTTTTTTATAATAATTAAATGAGTAATTTGTAACTCTAATGATTAAATCCTATGACCAATTGTAACTCCTTGGTTTGAGTTTGAAATACATCGAAAAACAATAGAACGAGCAAGAATAAAAATAGAATAAAATAAAATAGATAAAAATAGAATAAAACATAAGTCTTGTAGACGTAGCTTTTTTTTTTTTTGTCTCGATTATTACTCACTCCGAAAAAAAGGAACAATAGTCGGGGAATTGGGAATATTTGATAAGAACAAAAAAAGTGAGGTTGAGTACTCATAGAAAGCCATTCTTATTTAATTGAGTTTTTAAAAAAGAGTGGGAATACAATGGAACCATTCACTTTTGATATAAGGTCACAATCAATTACAACTATCTACCGAGTGTGTAAACAAAGTTCGATAAAATTCCTGTCTTTGATACAACGAGGTCATAATCATTTACATCCATCCGATGTAAAATCTTATAGCTTGAATGTGTTACAAAATTTTTAAAAAAATTATTTTAAAAGATTGAGCTTGGTCAATTGAATAAATATAACTATTGATTAATTATGACCAAGTTGCACAAGTCTCCTTTTATACTTTTCATTAAAAAACATATTACAGCAAGTACCCACTGGTGCAAATCATTGTTTTTTATTTTAACCATCAATAATAAGTTGATAAGTAGAAGGCATATTCGTGTACAAAAGGGTTTTCCGAAGTTTTGCCCTAACTGCCGTAGTGTATCGCTGCAAAGGTTTAAGCTGAGGTTTATCAGAAATGGTTCTCAACCTATCGTGCTCATGCCCTCAACACTCTCTCTCTGTTAGTAATCCACCTCTCTC